TTAATCCGTTCCGGAGGTCAGAAAAAAATAAAAAAAAGTCTTATCTGTTCAAAACTTTTTATAAAGTGCACTTTAAAGGCATAAATACTGTACAGGGACACGATTAAAAAAAATTTCATAACTGCATTGAAAACCAATTAATCCGTTCGTATTGCGAAAAAAAATTTGTAAACTGAGGTATTATTTTCAATGGATTTTCATTCGTAAACCGAAAATTACGTTAGCCGAGGCGTTCGTAAACCGAGGTACGCCTGTATATACAATTTTTTTAGATATTAAACATTCTTTTGACGATAAAGTCTTGCAAAATTATTTCATTTCCTGTGTAATCTATGGGGAAAGTCTTAAAGTGATATCACACCCTCAGTTTTTGAAGCACTTTCAGCGCCTGCATATGCAGCTCCTTTATCTTTTAATCCTTGTCTATGTTCCACTTTAGGCTGTGCCATGACTGCTGCCCCAGGCTCCCTGTTCTAGGGTGGCTCCTTTCTCTTGCAGCATCCTATGGTGCCACCCATGTATGGTGGGACTGGAGTTGTGTCCCCTACACTGAGTGCATCAATAGAAACACACAGCCCCATAGCTTCAGATAACCGGCATTGTGGGTACAGGAACATCTGTTTGCTTTCTTCCCCTTTTGGGTCATAGTATCACCGACCCAAGCCAGTATGGCCAGGAAGAACTAATGGAGCGTGATCTGCACTGCATTTGTTTCATTGGAGGACAGGTGAGACATCAGGGGTCTAAAAGTCTCATTAACCACTTCCCATCCCTAGGACATACCCATATGCCCTGGGGAACACGTGGTTATTCCAGGATCAGGGCTGCAGCCCTGATCCTAGTGTGAATATTTTCAGCTGGCCAATGGCCTTTCAGGTAAAAGTGATCCCAGTGGCTCTACAGCCACCCGATCATTTTTGCATTGCTCCGAAGAGGCTCGCCCCTCCTTCTGCTGTTCCCAGATTCTGCTGTCTCACCGGGGAGCCAAGGACCACTGCAGTCAGCAGTCAAGTTGGCTGAGCATAGAGGAGGAGAAGAGACATCTGTTCCCCCATCTCCTCTGTGATGAATGAAGCTGAAATCTGTGTTTGATCTGATGATCAGAGACTGCACACGTACTACAGGAGATGATCAGAGATGATCAGAGACTGCACACGTACTACAGGAGATGATCAGAGATGATCAGAGACTGCACACGTACTACAGGAGATGATCAGAGACTGCACACGTACTACAGGAGATGATCAGAGACTGCACACGTACTACAGGAGATGATCAGAGACTGCACACGTACTACAGGAGATGATCAGAGACTGCACACGTACTACAGGAGATGATCAGAGACTGCACACGTACTACAGGAGATGATCAGAGACTGCACACGTACTACAATAGATGATCAGAGACTGCACACGTACTACAATAGATGATCAGAGACTGCACACGTACTACAGGAGATGATCAGAGACTGCACACGTACTACAGATGATCAGAGACTGCACACGTACTACAGGAGATGATCAGAGACTGCACACGTACTACAGGAGATGATCAGAGACTGCACACGTACTACAATAGATGATCAGAGACTGCAAACGTACTACAGGCGATGATCAGAGACTGCAAACGTACTACAGGAGATGATCAGAGACTGCACACGTACTACAGGAGATGATCAGAGACTGCACACGTACTACAGGAGATGATGAGAGACTGCACACGTACTACAGGAGATGATCAGAGACTGCACACGTACTACAGGAGATGATCAGAGACTGCACACGTACTACAGGAGATGATCAGAGACTGCACACGTACTACAGGAGATGATCAGAGACTGCACACGTACTACAATAGATGATCAGAGACTGCACACGTACTACAGGAGATGATCAGAGACTGCACACGTACTACAGGAGATGATCAGAGACTGCACACGTACTACAATAGATGATCAGAGACTGCACACGTACTACAATAGATGATCAGAGACTGCAAACGTACTACAGGCGATGATCAGAGACTGCAAACGTACTACAGGAGATGATCAGAGACATTGGATGTACTACAGGAAAAAAATCAGAGACTGCGGATGTACTACAGGAGATAATCAGAGAGGAATGCTGGTATTTGTAGTTCTTTGGTATCCGGGGGAATGCTGGTACTTTCAGTTCTCTGGTATCCGGGGGAATGCTGGGACTTGTCAGTTCTCAGGTATCCGGTGGGAATGCTGGGACTTGTAGTTTCTCTGGTATTGGGGGGAATGCTGGGACTTGTAGTTCTCTGGTATCGGGAGGAATGCTGGGACCTGTAGTTCTCTTGCATCTGGGGTAATGCTGGGACTTGTAGTTCTCTGGTATTGGGGGTAATGCTGGGACTTGTAGTTCTCTGGTATTGGGGGGATGCTGGGACTTGTAGCTCTCTGGTATTGGGGGGGAATGCTGGGACTTGTAGTTCTCTGGTATGGGGGGAATGCTGGGACTTGTGGTTCTCTGGTATCTGGGGGAATGCTAGGGACTTGTAGTTCTCTGGTATCTGGGGGAATGCTGGGACTTGTAGTTCTCTGGTATCTGGGGGAATGCTAGGACTTGTAGTTCTCTGGTATCTGGGGGAATGCTGGGACTTGTAGTTCTCTGGTATGGGGGAATGCTGGGACTTGTAGTTCTCTGGCATCTGGGGGAATGCTTGAACTTGTAGTTCTCTGGTATTGGGGGAATGCTGGGACTTGTAGTTCTCTGGTATCCGTGGGAATGCTGGGACTTGTAGTTCTCTGGTATCCGTGGGAATGATGGGACTTGTAGTTCTTTGGTATCTGGGGGAATGCTGGGACTTGTAGTTCTCTGGTATCTGGGGGAATGCTGGGACTGTAGTTCCCTGGTACCCGGGGGAATGGTAGTTCTCTGGTATCAGGTACATCGCTGGTCCAGAAGTGGTTAAAGCCTGACATGTTAGGTGTCTATTTACTCGGTGTAACATCATCTTTTATATTTTAACAAAACTGGGGTAATATATAGTGTTTGTGTGCAATAAAATTCATGAAGGTGTATTTCCCCCCAAAAAAAAAATCACGTTTGAAAAACTTATGCGCAAACACCATGTGACATAAAATTGAAACACCCACCATTTTATTCCCTAGGGCCTCTGCTAAAAAACCCGTTTGGGGGTTCAAATTAATTTTTTTTAGCAAAAATATACTGATTTGGGAGAGAAGTGTCAGAACTGGCCCGGTAGGGAACTAGGTAAAATCTCGTATCCCCCATTTCACAGACCCTGTTATGCCTGCTACACACGGTGAGTATTTTTTTGCGTTCAACCCAGCAGGCTACGCGATGTTCAGACTGCGATCAGAGGGACACGCCCCTCCCCCATCCTCCGCCAGAACACACCGGTCACTGACCAATTGGCTGCGAGCGCTCATCAGATGCTGATTGTCTGCTCCCTGCATGCTCATTTAACAGAAGCTGGTGGTGAGATCTGTGAATGAATGAACTACTGGTCCCATCTGGCAGCGCAGACGGCTAGTTGTACACAGTCCTTTCACTCTTCCTCCAGCTTTCAATCCAAAAGCCCGTACTGGAGGTACAGGCAGAAAGATGGAGGGGGAGTGTGCAGGAGCCTGACAATGCACCTGATTGAGGATGCAATGCTTTGCAGGATCCTGTAGGAATTTTTTTTTTTCTTCTTGCAAAAATATGTGCATGTATTATTTTTTTCCTAAAAGGTGAACTTGGTCTTTAGCCCCGGTTCACATATATGCGGCTCTGTGGGCATGAGAGCCCATTCATTTGATGACACTCAGAGAAGAAGTCCCTGCGTTTCTTTGGAAAACGCAGCCCGCACGGGAACCTCGATTCCCAGTACGGTTGCGTTTTCCAGTGCGGGCGGCCTGCCATTATAACTAATGGCACCCGCGGGTCTGCATTTCTCTGCACAGGTGGGGCGGCTGCACGGATTTTTGTGTGGATCCACAGCGGCACCCCCCGCATAGATGTGAACCTAGCCTTAAAATGAATGTATCCACACGCTCTCCCAGGGCTTGTAATATTCAATTCATCCACTAGATGTCAATGTTTACTTGTTAAACATAAAATCGGTAGAGGAGTTCTCAACCTTTTCTCAGCCAAGGCACCCTTGAATCCCTCCTGAGGATTTACCGCCCCCCCTCCTGACCAGGCCATTGGTTTGCATTACGGCGCTGTGTTACTTTAACTGACAATTGCAACGCTGCACCGAAATGAAATTTACGTCCTTTTTTTCCCCACGAATGGAGCTTTCTTTCATTGGTATTTGACCGCCTGTGTGTTTTTTAATTTTTTGCGCTATTATATCTTGTGGCTGTGGTGAACTTTCTGTAAGATATAATAGTAGTGTGCTTCCCTGGTTTAAGGGCTCTGGGGGCCATATGTGGCCCAAGGGCCACAGGTTGAGCACCCCTGCCATAGACTTTAACCCCTTCCTGGCCTTTTAAAAGTTTCAGAAGCCGGGAGGCGGGATGGGCGGGGTTTATGGATCATGTGACCGCCGTGATGCGTCGTCACGGTGGTCACATAATTGGGAAAGGTCCCAATCGAAAGAGGAGACCGGGACCTTTCCGTGAGTACAGGACATGTGTGCTGGGAGCGCGCTCGGCGCCACATTATATCTTGTGGCTGTGGTGAACTTTCTGTAAGATATAATAGTAGTGTGTTTCCCTGGTTTGAGGGCTCTGGGGGCCATATGTGGCCCACCTCTGCCATAGACTTTAACCCCTTCCCGGCCTTTTAAAAGTTTCAGAAGGCGGGAGGCGGGACGGGCGGGGCTGAGTTTACGGATCATGTGACCGCCGTGACGCATCGTCATGGCGGTCACATGATCGAGAAAGGTCCCCTCCGAAAGAGGAGACCGGGACCTTTCCGTGAGTACAGGACATGTGTGCTGGGTGCGCGCTCTTAGCATATATGTTTTTTTTTTTAATAGAACGCAAATGTGCGGCCACTCAGCCAGGGGTGGACTGACAACTCATGGGGCCCCCGGGCAATAGGGGATCATGGGGCCCCTGTGTCCTTGCCCAAACTCAAAAAAGCCTATAAAAAAGGTACCAGGGGCATCTCATGGGGCCCCCCCCTGCTGACCCCGCACCCTCGGGCAGTGCCCGAGTTTCCAAATGGTCAGTCCACTGTTCAAAACTTTTTATAAAGTGCACTTTAAAGGCATAAATACTGTACAGGGACATGATTAAAACTTAATTCATAAATGCATTTAAAGCCAATTAATCCATTCCGGAGGTCAGAAAAAAAAAGTAAAAAAAAAGTCTTTTATCTGTTCAAAACTTTTTGTAAAGTGCACTTTAAAGGCATAAATACTGTACAGGGACACGATTAAAAAAAATTTCATAACTGCATTGAAAACCAATTAATCCGTTCGTATTGCGAAAAAAAATTTGTAAAACTGAGGTATTATTTTCAATGGATTTTCATTCGTAAACCGAAAATTACGTTAGCCGAGGCGTTCGTAAACCGAGGTACGCCTGTATATACAATTTTTTAGATATTAAACGTTCTTTTGACGATAAAGTCTTGCAAAATTATTTCATTTCCTGTGTAATCTATGGGGAAAGTCTTAAAGTGATATCACACCCTCAGTTTTTGAAGCACTTTCAGCGCCTGCATATGCAGCTCCTTTATCTTTTAATCCTTGTCTATGTTCCACTTTAAGCTGTGCCATGACTGCTGCCCCAGGCTCCCTGTTCTAGGGTGGCTCCTTTCTCTTGCAGCATCCTATGGTGGTGCCACCCATGTATGGTGGGGACTGGAGTTGTGTCCCCTACACTGAGTGCATCAATAGAAACACACAGCCCCATAGCTTCAGATAACCGGCATTGTGGGTACAGGAACATCTGTTTGCTTTCTTCCCCTTTTGGGTCATAGTATCACCGACCCAAGCCAGTATGGCCAGGAAGAACTAATGGAGCGTGATCTGCACTGCATTTGTTTCATTGGAGGACAGGTGAGACATCAGGGGTCTAAAAGTCTCATTAACCACTTCCCATCCCTAGGACATACCCATATGCCCTGGGGAACACGTGGTTATTCCAGGATCAGGGCTGCAGCCCTGATCCTAGTGTGAATATTTTCAGCTGGCCAATGGCCTTTCAGGTAAAAGTGATCCCAGTGGCTCTACAGCCACCCGATCATTTTTGCATTGCTCCGAAGAGGCTCGCCCCTCCTTCTGCTGTTCCCAGATTCTGCTGTCTCACCGGGGAGCCAAGGACCACTGCAGTCAGCAGTCAAGTTGGCTGAGCATAGAAGAGGAGAAGAGACATCTGTTCCCCCATCTCCTCTGTGATGAATGAAGCTGAAATCTGTGTTTGATCTGATGATCAGAGACTGCACACGTACTACAGGAGATGATCAGAGACTGCACACGTACTACAGGAGATGATCAGAGACTGCACACGTACTACAGGAGATGATCAGAGACTGCACACGTACTACAGGAGATGATCAGAGACTGCACACGTACTACAATAGATGATCAGAGACTGCAAACGTACTACAGGCGATGATCAGAGACTGCAAACGTACTACAGGAGATGATCAGAGACATTGGATGTACTACAGGAAAAAAATCAGAGACTGCGGATGTACTACAGGAGATAATCAGAGAGGAATGCTGGTACTTGTAGTTCTCTGGTATTGGGGGGAATGCTGGGACTTGTAGTTCTCTGGTATCGGGAGGAATGCTGGGACCTGTAGTTCTCTTGCATCTGGGGTAATGCTGGGACTTGTAGTTCTCTGGTATTGGGGGAATGCTGGGACTTGTAGTTCTCTGGTATTGGGGGGATGCTGGGACTTGTAGTTCTCTGGTATTGGGGGGAATGCTGGGACTTGTAGTTCTCTGGTATGGGGGAATGCTGGGACTTGTGGTTCTCTGGTATCTGGGGGAATGCTAGGACTTGTAGTTCTCTGGTATCTGGGGGAATGCTGGGACTTGTAGTTCTCTGGTATCTGGGGAATGCTAGGACTTGTAGTTCTCTGGTATCTGGGGGAATGCTGGGACTTGTAGTTCTCTGGTATGGGGGAATGCTGGGACTTGTAGTTCTCTGGCATTTGGGGAATGCTTGAACTTGTAGTTCTCTGGTATTGGGCAGAATGCTGGGACTTGTAGTTCTCTGGTATCCGTGGGAATGCTGGGACTTGTAGTTCTCTGGTATCCGTGGGAATGCTGGGACTTGTAGTTCTTTGGTATCTGGGGGAATGCTGGGACTTGTAGTTCTCTGTGTATCTGGGGGAATGCTGGGACATGTAGTTCCCTGGTACCCGGGGGAATGGTAGTTCTCTGGTATCAGGTACATCGCTGGTCCAGAAGTGGTTAAAGCCTGACATGTTAGGTGTCTATTTACTCGGTGTAACATCATCTTTTATATTTTAACAAAACTGGGGTAATATATAGTGTTTGTGTGCAATAAAATTCATGAAGGTGTATTTCCCCCCCCAAAAAAAAATCACGTTTGAAAAACTTATGCGCAAACACCATGTGACATAAAATTGAAACACCCACCATTTTATTCCCTAGGGCCTCTGCTAAAAAACCCGTTTGGGGGTTCAAATTAATTTTTTTTAGCAAAAAATATACTGATTTGGGAGAGAAGTGTCAGAACTGGCCCGGTAGGGAACTAGGTAAAATCTCGTATCCCCCATTTCACAGACCCTGTTATGCCTGCTACACACGGTGAGTATTTTTTTTTGCGTTCAACCCAGCAGGCTACGCGATGTTCAGACTGCGATCAGAGGGACACGCCCCTCCCCCATCCTCCGCCAGAACACACACCGGTCACTGACCAATTGGCTGCGAGCGCTCATCAGATGCTGATTGTCTGCTCCCTGCATGCTCATTTAACAGAAGCTGGTGGTGAGATCTGTGAATGAATGAACTACTGGTCCCATCTGGCAGCGCAGACGGCTAGTTGTACACAGTCCTTTCACTCTTCCTCCAGCTTTCAATCCAAAAGCCCGTACTGGAGGTACAGGCAGAAAGATGGAGGGGGAGTGTGCAGGAGCCTGACAATGCACCTGATTGAGGATGCAATGCTTTGCAGGATCCTGTAGGAATTTTTTTTTCTTCTTGCAAAAATATGTGCATGTATTATTTTTTTCCTAAAAGGTGAACTTGGTCTTTAGCCCCGGTTCACATATATGCAGCTCTGTGGGCACGAGAGCCCATTCATTTGATGACACTCAGAGAAGAAGTCCCTGCGTTTCTTTGGAAAACGCAGCCCGCACGGAACCTCGATTCCCAGTACGGTTGCGTTTTCCAGTGCGGGCGGCCTGCCATTATAACTAATGGCACCCGCGGGTCCGCATTTCTCTGCACAGGTGGGGCGGCTGCACGGATTTTTGTGTGGATCCACAGCGGCACCCCCCGCATAGATGTGAACCTAGCCTTAAAATTAATGTATCCACACGCTCTCCCAGGGCTTGTAATATTCAATTCATCCACTAGATGTCAATGTCTACTTGTTAAACATAAAATCGGTAGAGGAGTTCTCAACCTTTTCTCAGACAAGACACCCTTGAATCCCTCCTGAGGATTTACCGCCCCCCCCCCTCCTGACCAGGCCATTGGTTTGCGTTACGGCGCTGTGTTACTTTAACTGACAATTGCAACGCTGCACCGAAATGAAATTTACGTCCTTTTTTTTCCCCACGAATGGAGCTTTCTTTCATTGGTATTTGACCGCCTGTGTGTTTTTTTAATTTTTTGCGCTATTATATCTTGTGGCTGTGGTGAACTTTCTGTAAGATATAATAGTAGTGTGCTTCCCTGGTTTAAGGGCTCTGGGGGCCATATGTGGCCCAAGGGCCACAGGTTGAGCACCCCTGCCATAGACTTTAACCCCTTCCTGGCCTTTTAAAAGTTTCAGAAGCCGGGAGGCGGGATGGGCGGGGTTTATGGATCATGTGACCGCCGTGATGCGTCGTCACGGTGGTCACATAATTGGGAAAGGTCCCAATCGAAAGAGGAGACCGGGACCTTTCCGTGAGTACAGGACATGTGTGCTGGGAGCGCGCTCGGCGCCACATTATATCTTGTAGCTGTGGTGAACTTTCTGTAAGATATAATAGTAGTGTGTTTCCCTGGTTTGAGGGCTCTGGGGGCCATATGTGGCCCACCTCTGCCATAGACTTTAACCCCTTCCCGGCCTTTTAAAAGTTTCAGAAGGCGGGAGGCGGGACGGGCGGGGCTGAGTTTACGGATCATGTGACCGCCGTGACGCATCGTCATGGCGGTCACATGATCGAGAAAGGTCCCCTCCGAAAGAGGAGACCGGGACCTTTCCGTGAGTACAGGACATGTGTGCTGGGTGCGCGCTCTTAGCATATATGTTTTTTTTTTTTAATAGAACGCAAATGTGCGGCCACTCAGCCAGGGGTGGACTGACAACTCATGGGGCCCCCGGGCAATAGGGGATCATGGGGCCCCTGTGTCCTTGCCCAAACTCAAAAAAGCCTATAAAAAAAGGTACCAGGGGCATCTCATGGGGCCCCCTGCTGACCCTGCACCCTCGGGCAGTGCCCGAGTTTCCAAATGGTCAGTCCACCCCTGC